TTCCAAACCCTTACCCCTTGGGAAAGGGGCCATGGAGGAGGGCCCATGGTTTTTTCGGATCTTCCCCTAGGTGATTACCCGGTGAGATTTTCCTTTTTACCCCCCCCCCCCCCCCCCCTCCACGCCGCCCCCGCCGGTGTTTGCCATCGGGGTTGGGTTTTCGCCCCTTGGCAACGACGTTGTAAAACAAGCCAATTCACTTCGTGAACTCGGCAACCAGGTTACCGTTTTTTTTTTACCCCTGGTTTTTGTTTTGGCGGTAACCATAATGGTGGTCGAGTAGATCATGTTGTGCGGGGTGGAGAAACCTCACTCCGCGCAAAGAGGATGGTCGCACCACGTTGTGTTAAATTGGTCAAGCACCCTCGAGGCAGCTACACAGTGCTTATGACTGTCTCTGGAAGTGAAAAAAACAGAAAACATATTTAGTCATACGCAGCTGTCATCCGTACACAAGGAAGTAAGCACAAGATGCCGAACACCACAAGCAGGATGCAGCGCACCCTTCATGCGACCCGCCGAATACCTCACGGCGCTTCGCGCTTGGTGATGTGAGAGCCTGGTCCGGTGAGAACCCGGCGTGCTCCGTCCCGGGTTTGTAGGAATGCGAGGTCAATGGTCTAACTACCACGGCATGCACAACTATGAGTCCCCCCCCCTCCCGTTCCACGTGCACTCACATAGGCCCCGGAACATGGTATTAATTCTCCAGTTGCCCCCTGCATTACTATGCTTCGAGAGAAAAACGCCCATTCCCCCTACCCCCCTAGCTTCGCCCAGCTAGGTTCGACCCGTACAGGGTGTTTTGTGCGTTTCTTGTCATGCGTGCGTTTTGTCAAGAAGACGCACACGACATACCGCATGGTATTGTAAAGCCCCGCAGAACCCCGCTGTGAGTGCAGGACGAAACTGTCCGTGCTGTTTGTCTGTGGTGTGCCTCACATTGCGAGACCTCGGTAAGAAGAAACGTTCTCAACCAAGCACCTTCGTCGGGGCGGGATCCTTTAATGTCTTTTCTAGTCTCCCCAGCTCGGGTTCACGTTCCCTCCCCCGCGGGGGATTTTATGGCGTGAAAACGTCGGATGAACGATCGGCCATCGATGATCGGTCCTGTGGGAAGAATTCTCCGTCCTCTCGAGGGGCAACTGGCTTACAGCGACGGAATTCAAAACATGAGTTTCTCGGGGTTCTTTGATTTTCGTTGAAACAGCTAATATGGTTCCACCCGCTCGCATTTGTAGCTCACGGCAGTTCGTGTGCAGACTGCCTCCTCGGGTCTGGGTAACAGCATGGAATGAACGTACCGTCATCTGCTCCTCATCCGTGACCTCCTCGTCTTATCCGGTTCCTGCTACAGTATGGCAACACCGGCTGACGTAGACGGCCAAAAACGTCTCTTCCAGAAAAGCAATTGACACGCGCACGGCGTCAAACGGTTTGAACATCTCAGTCACAGGCGAGGCTAGGGATGAATACAGCAAGAACGATTGAAAACGGTCACTGTGAGGGGCTTTCAGTTTATTCCTTCATTTGGGGAGAGTTGAACTGAACCTTGAGGTTTTTTCACAACGTTCGATGAGATGGTATCGTGAAGAGACTGTAGAAGAAGTCTGTTCGACATATATGCGGCATGATCGCGGCCTCTTAGACACCGCTATAGGACAAACAGGGAAGCATCCGACCGCTTTGATTGCTCGTTTATCACATGCACCCCTAGCGCCGCAACCAGTATGAACATGTTCGTACCCGGAGAGCAACGAACCATCATTGCAATTGGTGCAGAGTCTGTTCGAAGCTGCCGTAACAATCTTGTTTCTATTACCTGACGAACGCCCCTCCCCCTACAGGAGGTTTCCCCTCGGGGCGTGCGTGCAATATCTTCGCGTCTGGCGGCCCTTCGCCTCCGGCCAACCTTTAACAAGGCCTCAGCATGTACCTCCCCTCCTCCTTGTGTCCTGTGACAGACGCGAGATCCGCGAACTGACGGATAGGGACAGGGAGGCGTTTTTTGACGCCATGCAGACCTGGTACACCATTCCGAACTCCGTGGGCAAGACCACTTACGGGCCCGACTTCAGCAACTACATGCCCGTCACTGCTATCCACGGCACCGAAGTGAGAACGGCGAGATTCCTTCATGACGCGAGTGTGTAGAAGAAGCCGTCTAGCGCTGTTTGTGAGTTCTGCCGTTTGGAGTGGGGGCGTCTGCACCCCATAATGCCCCTTTTTCAACAGGCATGCCTGACGATGAGCGTGCGACAACCGCGACAACTGACACCTGTATCCCAGCCTTTGCTATTCTCAATGCCGCCTAGGCCAATGAATGACCCCCGGCCGTCGACGCCTCACTTGATCGGTTGCAGTAAATGGGGAAAAACAAAACGCCAACCAACCGCGTTCCTCCTCTTCGGCAGGTTCAAAACTTCTGCTACCACCAAGGTATGCAGTTCCTGACCAGTCACGCGGCGTTCGACCTCACCATGGAGCGCTACCTCCAGATGATCGACCCGACGGTTTCCCTTCCCGTGTGGGACTACATGATCGACTCGGCATGGCTGGGGCTCGAGTGAGTCTCGGATAAACTTTAGGCTATCGGTTTGTCGGGTGGAGTTATCGCGGCGTGGCGAGGGGGCGTGGTTTTGTCATGTTTGAAAATAATCGCTATTGGTTTTGCGCCTAAGTGACGCTGCTGCTCTTTCCACGTCAGGTGGTACGAAAGCGAAATTTTCCAGCCCGACTGGTTTGGGTCCGCGATGAGCGATGTGGAGAACCATTTCATGGTCACGGGCGGCCGTTTCGGCAACGTATCCGCGATCTACGACCCCGAAGACACCCTCACAGACAGCAGGGTTAAGCCCACCCACAACCCGTACGGGTATGTTTCTTCCCCTCACAACTACCAGGTACTGCCCCGCCGCTGTTGTCACCGTTTGCGATTGGTCGCCGTATGAGCCCTACGTCTATTTGCTTCTTGCGGGAAGCTAGTGCCTTTGGATGCGTGTTGCCCCTCCCATCCCGTCATTGGGCGCACACGGTCTCGGTGTCCATTTCTCCCTGTCGGTGTTGCCATCGTTGTTCACACCATTGATCGGGAGGGGCATGAACAATGAGGAGAAAGTCGTGGTTGATATTTTGTGGTCTCTCCGTTGGAAACCGTCCCGGTCTCTGCTCAGCACCCTTCAATCACCCGTACCGGTCCAACTGGCGTGGTTTGTTTTTCCTCGCCGCCGGTTTTATTTGGTCGTATTGCCTGAACGTTCTGTCGCTGGACAGCCTGCCGTCACCTCACCACACCCGTACGTGTTTAGCCTGAGCTGGTAACAGACAAAGCGCGCGTTTGCTGGTCGTAAGCTTGATACAAACCGGTTCCGCCAGCCGTTAGCTGCTCTGATACAGTTGACGACCTGCTGCTGCCCCAACAAAACGCCGGTGGCAGGACACATATAAAGCCAATGCTCACGTGCTAAACACGCGTCGTCGGTATGACCTCCCGGTTCGGATGATATTTTTGTCAGGATCTCCCGAGGTTGACCCGCACGAGCTCGTACTGTGGCCTGCAATCCCGCGACACCCTCGCCACGTTGGACGCTTTCTTGGGTTGTTTCGAGGAGAGCAGGTCGTTCTACGACTGGGAGTACTGCATGCAGTACAAGGTAGGCAGGGGCACCGTGACTGACCGCACGGGGGAGGGTCGTACTGTGGTGTTTGTAAAAGGAGTGTGTAATTTGTTGAGCTCGTGTCTCTGTCGCGTTGCGTTCATCGCGTCGAATCCCCCACGCACATCCGTACGCTTGCGGCCCAAACCGGTGGTCGAATATGACGTGGGGGCATGCATTGACAACAGTTGTGGGAATCTCTTGTCTCCTCCTGCCCCCTCCAAGCTGTCGTAAGGGCTGCAATAAGTGGGCTGGTGGTCTCGTGGATACAGGTGGGTGTTGGTAGGGGAGGACAGCGGGAGACTAGAGCATGTTTCCGGCTCCATTTGAATTGTCCTCCGCGCGCGCGTGCTCGAGATCGTCTGTTCGCACTCCCCTCGGTAATTGCCATCGGGGTTGGGTTTTCGTCACTTGGCAACGACGTTGTACAACAAGCCGATTACTTGGTGAGCTCGGCAACTGGTTACCGCCATATATGTGTTTTTTGCCTCTGTTTTTGTTTTTGCGGCAACCATAATGGTGGTCGAGGAGATCATGTTGTGCGGGGTCGTGAATCCTCACTCCGCGCAAGGGGGATGATCGCACCACGTTGTGTTAAATTAGGCAAGTAACCTCGAGGCAGCTACACAGTGCTTATACCTGTCGTAGGAGGTGAATGCACCAGAAAATAAATTAAGTCATACGCAGCTGTCATCCGTACGCAAGGAAGTAAGCACAAACATGCCGAGCACCCTTAGCAGGATGCAGCGCACCCTTCATGCGACTCGCCGAATACCTCGCGGCCCTTCGCGCTTGGTGATGTGAGAGTCTGGTCCGGTCAGAACCCGGCGTGCTCCGTCCCGGGTTTGTAGGGATGCGAGGTCAATGGTCTAACGACTACGGCATGCACGACTATGCGTACACCTCCCCCCCCTCTGCAGAGCAGCTGGGCTCAGGGCTGGCCCAATATTTGGCACGACGCTTACGGCACGCTCCTCAACTCTTTTGGCTACACCTTAAAGACGCGTTTGTATATTGTTTTCCGCTCAAACATTCCGTGCCACCAAGATTCACGGGGATATCCACGGTCTTCTCGGCGGCGCGTTCGACTGCAACACGGACATGGCCGATTTCTCGGCGGAGCACCCAGAGTACTCCCACGGCCTGCTCGCCTTCACCCTGCAGATCCTCACCTTCAAGTTCACGGCCTGGAACATCCTCACGCCTGACGACAACACCTGCGATGCGAAGTGCATGAAGGGGCAGACGGAGCCGTGCGGATGCACGTGCCTGATCGACGCCTTCGCTATCCCCGACCAGCAGGTGGGAGCGCCTGTGTGTGTTTGTTGTTGTCTATAATGCGCTAACCGGCTGACAAAAGGAAAAACGTCAATCCCAAGTGCGGTTTCCACCCCCACGCGATGCCATTTCATCTGGTATGTGTTTACGGATCAGCATAAGCCCGGAGAGATAGAACGTCCCTCCAGCAATTGGGCGACACACGATACCGCACAACCCACACAATACACGCCCGGGAGGTACTCGTTAAAAACATCATCGCGGGGTGCGGTCCTGCGGCTCTCTGGTCACACACCCATTTACCCACATGACACTTTTCTGGGCAGGTTTACGGTTACATGGAGGCTTTCATGGACGCGGCCATGACCGACTTTAGCGGCTACCAGTACATCACCCACGACGAGGAAGCTGCATACCCCTACGGCTTTATTCAGGTGCAAAAACCGCCGGCACGCAACCTGTACAACGTACGATAAGCGAATATTGTTCACCTCACTTTCGTGGGTATTTTGCTCGAGCGGGTTGTCCGCGATTTGATATTTTTGAAGTGTACCCCCTAGCGCTTGCCCTAGTCGAAGGGATGTAATCATGAGTTTTTCACAGTGAGTGGTGAGATAAAACGGCTGGATTGTTGGACTGATTTTGAGTCTGTCTAATCCTGTACGCGAAAGGATCGATTTCATTGACATTTTAAGACCCTGTTGATACATGTCGGGCAGGGGATGCCGATGTTGTGTTGTCGGGTCCAACGCAACAACCTATCTGGGTAATCTTCTCGTTGTCAGCTCTCTCTCTCTCTCTACCCCCCCCCCCTCTCTTTCTCTTGGAAGATTCCTGCAATAGAGACCGCGAGCGGCTTTTAGTTGCTGACCATGATCGATGGGTCCTCCGCAAAAACAACCAAACATACCAGTTCTATTTTTCCTTTCCCTGCAAAGTATACGAGGACCCTTTCGTCTCGAAAGAGCTGTACCATCAGGATGGTAGCGCTGTTCAAGAGTAGGTGCATTCTTCAATCATCTTCCCGGCAAGCACCGCCGTGGGTGGAAAGACGGGACTAAGAAAAAACAAAATGACGAGGCTTGTGCTGATCTATGTCCCCTTCCTCCTCCTGCGTGCGGCCGGCTGACACGTCCAAACCTTTCCTCGAAAGGAGTGCAGATGGCGCCAGGATGGGGTCATGGGACGAACAAACACACACACACCATAGGTACAGAAACGGCATGGCATACCCGTTTCCCCGTTTGCGCGCACGCGGGCACGCCTCTTCCCGCCCCGGTCCCCCACTGCTGGAGTTATACCTCCCCACATGCCTCCTGTATATCTGGACGTATTTTCTTCTTGTCCCCGTTCGCCGCTGGCGGTCGGTTTTACGTGTTGGTCGACTCTTTTCCCGCTCGTTCGGGTCCCGACAGGATGGCCAACGAATGAGTGACGAACACGCGATGTTCTTGATGAGAACACTGGTCAAGATCGGATGCGAGCCCGGAGCGGTGGGCACGATGTCGTCGACGGCTAGCCCGGTGGACCCGGTGCGTGGCTGTTTTCCTGTACGCTGTGACCCCCGCCACGGGAAGCGGACACGCTCATGGTGTTCTTTCTTTTCCCTGCTTGGTGCTTTTTTGCACTGCTTCGAAAAAGAGAGGTGGCACGTGGTCTCGAGCCGCGAAATAAAATAAAGTGTTTTGGGGGGTGTCGGTCGCCGTGCTTCCCTCGCAGACGACCTCCTCTCGAGTTTGCGGCGACAAATTCCTGCTTTTGTGTGTCCGTTACTTTTCCTACGTGCGATGGGTTGCCCCTGAACGCCATTACCCCGGTTGATGCCCTTACGACCCTCTCCCGCCTCGCCTCTTCGTTGAAACAAATAATTGCCGCGCAGCTATTCTGGGTCTTGCATCCTCTGTTCGATAAGGCGATGCACATCTTGTTGCTCTCTCCCAAATACGACGAGTACACGATGGAGTGGGTCGATGGAGAGTGCCCAGGTAGCGGCTACACGGACGAGCTCCCGATCACGGGTGAGATCCCCACAGCCGTAGACTACTTGCCATCATAAGGTAGTGCATGAGAGGTCCTCTCAACAGGGCGACAACAAGCGCATGCTAGCCGCTTGACTGACTGCCTTCTTGCCAGCAAGCAAGAAGCGAGGCCGTCCATAATACGGCGGCAATATGCGATGCCATAATTGCCACCTGTTTCGCCGCCTGCGACGAGCGACATGATGTTGGCCAATTTTGGATCCTAGCTTCCACAAACGTTGTGAAGTGAGGGTTATGCACCGACCCCGCCACGACCTGTATCGCACTCGGGGCCCAAGAGGGTGGGTTCGGCCCTACTGCCGCGGAACCAGGGGTTACGAAACCGCCACACCGGCGGCGTCGGCGTGTTGTCGCAAGAGCTACTGGGAAACAGTGTCGTCCCGACCGATTCAACTCCTCCTACTGTAACACCTACTCCCAAATCTCCCGGCCTCTCATAGGGTTTGTAAAACTCACGCCCGCAGCATCAACGAGCTACTACTTGGAACACCCCCAAAACAATTGATAACTAGGAAAAGCCTGCTGCAGCATTCAACTTGCACCCCTCCACACGATGCTCCCCTGACGCCCTTGTACCTTTTTGATTTTCGCGGTTTTGGCAGAGAGGTCGCTCGGCCTGGGTCCGGGAACGGACTACCTCACGAACGAGCAGCTGCTGGAGCTGTTGTACCCCTCGAATCCCGCGCTGCCCTACGTCTACACCGACCTCCCGAGATGGGGCGACAAGGATACCGAGCTGGTCTAGCCACCTACCTACCTCATCAACAAAGCGCTGCGCCCGGACTGCACAGTACATATTTTAGGCAACATAGCACGAGGCCTGGTGCGGGTTTCATTTCGACGCACATTTTCCAAATTTGGAGGCCGGATGAGGTATATAGGAACCGGTCAGGAAGGTCGAAGCATATTTTTCACGCTTCGGCGGCATCGTAGGCGGAAGGCCGGCATAGACGTTTGTGATAGAATCGATATTTTTGCGTCGAAACAAAGAAAAACAGGATTATTCTCCACAACGCACACAAAAGGAATCCGCCTACAGTAGTAATAAGCTACAGATGTTGTCGCAGGTCCCGACAGTTGGTATCGTTGTTACTGTTGTTGTTGTTGTTGTTGTTGTATTGTTGTCGTCTTCGTATCAATGATCATCACGATCTTGTTCTCAGGTCCTTCTAGACGCGTACCAGTACAACTGACGCAAGGACGCCTTCTGTGGTCGCAGGCCAACTACCATCAAGGGGTCAACACTCGAAAAAATAGTATTTTATTGTTTTCTTTCGAATTACCTTGACCAATATTTCTGTGGCATACGGAGGGAGACATCCCCCGTACCACATGTTCCGCACGGCACAAAGCCTCTGCGGTATCCTAACGTGTCTCTGCTTCTAAAACACAAAATCTCCCTCCGAATACTACCAGACGGGACGAAACTGTTGCACAGTAGCAGTCTCGGACAATTGAGCCTCCCAATGGTACGCACTACCATTCAGAAAACACCCACTTCGAAGTCGTGCGACATCTGCTTCGGGATACAACAGTACAACCCGTCGGGTCGTCCGATGTCGTGCATTACGCTTATATTACCAACACAGAACTGTGCGATACGCACCCTGCACGCAATTTGACCGCGAAACGGGACGGCACAGCTCAGCCGTTGGCCTTCGTGACGCGCCGCCCCCCTAGAAAATCCCCAAATCGGAGTACTCAAAGAGTGCCTCCACCAAGAAGCACAACGGCGAGCGCTACCTCAGAGAGACCTTAGTCTGTCTCTCGGCGGTGGCGTGCAGTACCGATAGTCAACTGTGGCGCACTATGAAGCGGTATGTATCGTTTGCCTTGCCCTTCTTGATCGCCATGGGCCCTGCGCCGTATGGTGGTTTCATGGCGTTGCTTGCTTCCCGCTGTATCTTTGAGGTTCCCGCGAAATGATCCGCATGATGCCTGGGATATCTCACTACACGGGCAAACATGACGAAAAGCACGAGGCAGAAAAAGAAAAAGAAACAACAGAAGGAAAGCGACAGGGCTGCGCTGTCGTGCAGCCCGGGTTTCCAAATCTCGTGGGCATCCGAACGTAGCCGGGACAGTTCCCATGGGATCAAGCGACGCGCGAGGCACGGTATCGTTTGTTTGTTTGTTTGTTTGTTTTTTATTGGTTGGGGGGGGGGGTACGCGGCGCCACGTCGAATTCCTTCTTGCAGTTCGACTTACGGCGCGGCCCATGGTAGAAAAAAAACAATGGGACCGTACAGCCTGTGGCTTCATCATAGGAAAGGAATAAAGTGGCTTCACCGTGGTTGCCTCTGCAGATATCGTCGAGCGTCAATTATTTGGCGCGCATCCGATATTCATGAGCAAGCTGACCGGCAAGCACATGACAATGCCGACCCGAGGCATTTTAACCATAAATGTCCCCGCCCGCGTCATGGGTCCATTTGAAAGACGCGCTATGAATGGCGTCATTTCTCGAAGGTCCAAACAAGGAGAATTCCCGGTGTTGCTGCATACTACGCCAACCGTGGTGAGAAACACAGGTATTCCTACCATCCTAACCGTGTTGGGGGAGGGGAGAGGGCATGTAGTTCGGACTTGACTCTGCGCTCTCGCCGCAATGCATTGTTCGAGACATGACCAAATGTTTCGAGAACATTCCAGGGTATATTTCACCTGCAGCAGATCGATTCCAACCATGCGACCGAAGCGATTTAGGTGGCCAATGCCACTACACTAGTAAAGTCATGTTCGCGATCATCGATACCTGACGGAGTAAAGTTTCTTTCACACACACGAACGTCCATGTGCACACACACACCATATACATCAACAACAAAATGTGCGTGGCGGAGCTGATGCATCGTTGAATGCAGCCGTTCGGAAACATCACACCGGGAGATACTGCTCGACCACTTGATGCTTTGGTTCCCCAAAACCTAGGCCCTGATAATGTGTACTCGACATTCGAGAAACTAACGCCGTGGTCGGCGCCAAGTTAAACTGGTGTGGCGAGGAATTGTCTTCGACACCGTGGTGCGGAAATACCAACAACGGGCGGATGCATGAGGCACGACCCAGTTTTTCGCCCACCCACAAAATACACGAGTAATGGGCAAAGGTATCAGAGTCTTGCAAAGGGGCGGGTCCCCTTTCCCCTCCACACAGCGGTTCTTGTGGGCAAGGTAAAACAGACCTTCCCTGGTTTCCTCCCACCATGATAAACAGCAGATTATTTAGGACATTGACGGCCGGAACCCTGTACACGGGTTCATGGTCGCCGGGTAGGCATGGAACTAGTGCTCCTTTTTTCTCGTAAGGAGTCGCACGTTTCTTAGCACGTTTCGTTTATTTTCATTAGACAATACGAAAGCAATCTCCGTTACTTCCCCCGTGTGATTGCAGCAACTGCCTCCGTATCTACAACGCGTCGGAACGGAAGAGCAGCGTTTTTGTGACGTACGTTGGCTGCTGTCACCGATACGGACGCAACCGTCTTGCATGAGCGTAGCGATCGGCAACAGGGCACCGTTCGAGCGAGTTTCCGGGTATATACATTGGTATGCTTGTGAGTCAATGGCGGCGTCAGCTCGTGAGCACCGACATGATGGTTTTTTTTTTCTTATTTTTGACACTCCGGATCCGACTACCGGCGACTTTGCGACTACCGCTGACTTTGCGGCGGCGGCGAGGGCCAATCCCAAACTCAGCGACCGGGCACCGTTCGAGCGTTTGATGTTCGATTTATATATACTGTATAGATTTTTTAACTACTGATTTGGCGGTGGCGGCTGAAGCCCGCCCCGAGCTCCGTAACAGCATAACACAGTTCGAGCGGTTGTGGCACTCCTGATCCGACGACCTCCTGAGTTGGCGGCGGCAGCCGAAGCCCGCCACAAACTCAGCAACAGGGCACCGTTCGAGCGACTATCATTGCACTCCGGACCCTACTACCTACTGAGTTTCCAGCAGGCATGGCGTCAGGTTTTATCGAAGACCGGCAGTCGAGCAACTTGTATTGGCACTCCGGATCCGTGCCTACTGAGGAGGCGGTGCTGGCCGAAGCCAGCCCCCGACCTCAGTAACAGGGCACCGTTCGAGCGACGTTTCTTGTTTTTTTTTTTCTCTCTTCTCAGATATATATTTATTGCATTGCACCCCGGATCCGACTACCTACGACTGAGTTTTCGGCGATGGCCGAAACTCGCCCCCGGCTCAGTGGCAGGGCATCGTTCGAGCGACGTTCGTTGCGCTCCGGATCCGACTACCTGCTAGCTGTGCAGCGGTGCATGGACCAGCGGGCGACAGGGCACCGTTCGAGCCACAGCTGACAATTGTTTGACACTATGTTATTGTTATTGCACTCCGGATCCGACTAGCCTACCGAACTGGCGGCGATGGACAGAGCCATCGGCTCAGTACCAGGGCACCGTTCGAGCGACAATATATTGTTCTTTGTTACTGTTTTGTATTTATCGTGATGGCACTCCAGATCCGACTACCTACTGAGTTGGCGGCGATGGCCGGGACCAGCCTCCGGCTCAGTAACAGGGAACCGTTCGAGCGGCAATTTACTGTTGTTGAACAATGGTGGCTATCTAATTGTGATTGCACTCCCGTGGCCAAGACCAGCCGCAAACGCAGCGACGGGGCACCGTTCGAGACACACATCGTTCTTGTTTCATTTATATACTCCGGATCCGACTAACGTACTGAGTTGGCGGCGATGACCGGTGCCAGCTACCGGCTCAGTAACGGGGCACCGTTCGAGCGACCAATATATTTGGGGTGCGTGAACTCCTGATCCAACTACTTACGGAGTTGGCGGCGATGACCGAAGCCAGCCCCCGGCTCAGCAACAAGGGCACCGCTCGAGCGACACTTTTACTTTTCTTGTTTGATATTGTTCCACACTCAGTGTGAGTGCACACCGGATCCGACTACCTATACTGAGTTGGCGGAGATGGCCGGGCCAACCACCGGCTTCGTAACAGGGCGCCGTTCGAGCGACGTCCACTCCGGGTCCCTGAGATGGCCGCGATGGGCGAAAACAGCCATGAACTAAGAACAGGGCACCGTTCGATGGACTATTATTTGCACTCCGGATCCGACTACCTCCTGAGTTGGCAGCAGTGGCCGAGACCAGCCCCAACTCTGTCCGTCAATACATACCATCCGCGTATCCCCCGGAGGTCCCGTAGACAGTATACTCTGCCGAGCACCCCAAACAGCCCCCCTGCTCGGTACGAGATACGATCAACGAAATCCCCATCACGATTATCATTGCCAGGAAAAACGGCAACAAATCAAACTACCCATCCAAACGGAAGAAATCATCCACCATTCCAAACAATCTCCCGATAAAAACAATGTTATACGAAATCTGTCGATCTCTCAATAAAACATGTTCTACGAAATCTTTCAAATCTTCTGATGACGTCAAACTATCCCCTAAAAGGTCTGTCAAATAACAAATCACCCTTTTGAGGAAATGCGTGACCAAATTCTCAAGCAATCAAACGCAAACAATTACCCCTGGAAAAATACCAAGTAAAGATCAACATTTGAAACGCCAAACCTGCCTCAAAAAACAAAGTCTCCTTCCCCATGTCCGCCATCGCCACGTATTCTGCCTGCGTGGTAGACAAAGTCACACACTTCTGAGTCTTGGAGAACCATGCAAAGAAGTGTACGGAATGTTGAAAGAAGGAATAGGGTTCAAGGATTACCGACCAATGGATGCAGGGACAAAGCTTAAGGTCAAATTCAGGACCGGGGACATAGGCCTTCGAGAACGTCGACGAAGACATAGGACGGTAGACGACGAAGACGACAAGTTCTAATGTGATTGCGGCTTCGAATGCGAAGACCGTGTTCATGTAGTCGCGGAATGTCCGTGGTACGAAGAGGAGAGGGAAGTGTACATGACTGAGCTGGGAAA